CACTTGTTATATGTGTATCTTTTATCGGATTTACGCCTACTTGTATTATAGCACGAAATTAAATATGGCACGCGAAGCGGGTCAAAGTCAAAAATAAATAAATAATTTGTGTGTGTTGAACTTAGTGTTCCTTTTTTTGTTTTGTACTTTTTAGGTGGGCGGGGCAAGTGCAAAATTAATTGCACAGACAACAACACACTGAAGAGACATCAAATTGGCTTTCTTACAAAACGGAAACTACAACACGTAGCAAATGAATTTCAGGGTCAGATGTGGATTACGGCAAATCGAAATATATATCTTGTTTTTCTCTCTCTCTCTCTCTCTCGTGCACTCTCTCTCTCTCTCGCTCAATTGCGAGGATGAGCAATAGATGTAATATGTTGACCCTCAACGCATTTGACTTTGAAATTTTGTTGCTGCTGCTGCTGTTGATGGTAAAATTTTGTTGGTTTTTTTTCGAATCATGCGTGTGCAGGTCTTATTAGCGCTAGATGGCGCTGATTTCAAATGCAAACAAAATGGCGTACTCGCAGGCCACATGTGGATGCTATGTGTGGATGTTGTTTTATTTATGAATGAGTTGGGCACACATATGGAGGCCGATGAAAAACCACCTGCACACAACGCATACACACATACATACGCACACACATACATACGCACATACACACACGCGTTTATTTGTTTGTAATGGCAGTCAATTAATTTTTGATGCGCTCGAAATTAGCGCATGAAATGAGTTCAAGAACGATTTCTCTAGAGATGAGCAATCAAATATAATAAAAAAGAAATTAGTTGAACTAGTTAATACTATAAACAAAGTTCAGATTTTATGTTATCAATTGAGTTTTGGAATTGAGTAAAACTAAAGACTGAGAATTCTCTAATTTCATATTGTTATTTTTATATTTTTACAATTTAATAAATTGCACCAATTCGACCAATATTTTGCTCATCTCTTTCTCTCGGAACGAAAGAGGCCGCAAAGTAAGCGCGCAAAAAAAAATAAAAGCACAGCAGACACAGCTAAACGGGCCAAAAGTAGCTCAACGCCCAAAACAAAAAAACAAGCTCAAGTGCGTGACGCTTGGGCGGCTTTTGGCCACGAAAGACGTTACAGCCAAAAAGCAACAGCAGAAATAAAAGAAAGAAAAACCCAGCTAGCCAACAGCAGTCAAAAAATGTACTGAAATACTTGGCATTCCAGCGTTACAAAAGTTAAATAAAGGCCGATCGTTCGATTCGCCAACCAGCCAGTCAGCAGCGAGCTTTATTTGTTGTCTTCTTCTTCTCCTTCTCGTGCTTGTGCTTGGTTTTTTTTTTGGGTTTGCCAATGTTGTAACGAAAGCGCAAGTAACCAAAACTCACTGCCCAAGTTGGAGTTCGAGCAGTCCTTTGATATAAACGCCTCAAAATGCAATTTAGGCGAAGAGTTTCACTTGCTTATCATATCAAAAATTATGAATTAAACGCATAGTGCAGTGAAAGCTGGCTAAATATATATTAAATATGTGTATGTATGTAAATATATATTTAAATACAAAAATTAAATATAAATGTAAATATTATAGTGAAGACAGGCTAAGGAAAATATTCGTTTATCCGAATGTTAAGTAAACGTTTATAGTTTAAAATTTTTAATTCTAAAAATTTTTAGAGTAGAAAATAATTATGTTCTTTTCAAATTTAATATATTTTAATAAGTTATTAGTTAGAAAAGAATTTAATTAAATCAAATCTAAAAATGTTTGATTTTTTAAAGTTAAAAAAATTAATGAGCTTCATTTTTAAATAGAAACAATAAATATTTTTAAAGTTTATTTAATTTAATTAATTATTTCATTAAGTTAAAAACATTTATTTTATGTAATTTTTTTGAGTTTAATATATTTTTGATAAAAACAATAAAATTATTTCTTCAAAATGTATTTAATGTAAAAAGTTTTTAGTTAAAAATATTAAATATAAAATATATAAATATCAGTTAATTTAATTAGTTTTTAATTCAAAAAAATTGTATTCGAAAATTTTATTATGAATTTATTTTTATTATTATTGGAACTATATACAATTGAAATAGTTCTGATAATATTATAATTATCGATAAAAACTAATGGTTTCTAGACGGGGCAGGCTTTACTGTAAAATATATCCAATATTCATAAAAATATTCCAATCGGCTAACACTTCTTCAATTTTTTAAGAGTTACGATTAGTAAAAACAAATGGTCAGAAGGTTCAACTGTACATACAAGATTCAGTTGATATTATATAAAACATACACCTCTTCTATATAGACTATAGACCCAGAGATTGAGATTAGTATTAGTTGAAATTTTGTGATAAGGTCAAACCGTTTACACTCTCCGCCGATTAATAACAAAATGAATTCTAGGATAAGGTCAAGCCCTTTTGTCAGCCAAAGACTTACATAATAGCCTAAAACCAAACAAGACAAGTGTGTCAAACGTAATTTGAAACCCACCTGGCTGCAGACATAGTGAAATACCCAAAAAAAACTAAAGAAAAAAAAACAAAACTACATGTGAATACATAATTAATGACAGCCCCGCGCCAAGGCCGACAAATTAATGTGCGAAATATTTGGAATTGAGTCAACGCTATTAACTTAAATCAAAAACTGCAAAATGAAATCCCAAGAGATATAGATGCAACAGCTTCCAGATGGTTCGCTATGTAAACCAGTTTTCTTCTCATTGTGTAAATCCAAAATGCTTAAGCCACTCCACTACGATCAAAGATCAGTTCAGATTGCCCTAACGAAGCCTTTTAAGACATCGACATTTCTTCAAAAGCTCAAATTTTACATACCTATGTAAAAGAAACAATTTTTAGTATTTTTTCCCTTAAATAATATGCAAATTTGTTATAAGCAAAGTCAACGCCTTATTAGGTCAATATTATCACAGAAAACCGTCAAGTGTTGTACCCGTTGCCATATAACGGCATCTTTTGTATTCATAGTCGAGCAACAGGTGGTCGAGAAGGCGGTTCTGTTATAGCTCGTATTGTTGTTGTGGTAATATTCAAGTGTTTGTGGTCAAACACAATAACTGTAAAGACTTGCCGCAACCAACAGCATAAATTCGGATTGATTTCAATAAAATATCACTTCTGACTACCCTAGAATATGTGGAATAAGCAGATGACCAGTTATGCCATATATATGCAACACATCATATAATCTATCTATCTATTTTTTGAAGCGATATTATCAAACTATATCTTAGCTTATACATCGCTTTAGTCAAAAAGAAAGTGCCCCTTAAAGCGCATTCCATCTTCAAGCTAATCGCATTTTCAAGTAAATTTGCATGAATTACATCATTGCTTATATGAAATCAGGCGCCTTACAGGGTATTTCATATTCCGGCTTATTGTTTTTTTGCAATCAGAGTTCTTGTAGATTTAATTTCTTGTAGGTAAACCGGTTGAAAGAACTTCAAGCTAATAGCACTGCCACAGAGTGCTTATCAAGCATAAGATGCTACTACACATACATATAAACACATATATATATAAATACTCATACGTTGGCATCGGACATCATCAGACCACGCAAGAGACTCACACACACACAACATAGAGTCGCATGTATGGATGTATGCATGTGTATCTGTATAGCCGATTCGGCAGCCAGTTGGCTTGGACTTTGGACGCGGTGCTAAAATGAAATTTCTATATGATACGATATTTTGAACGCTCTCCCAATTGGCTGGCCGCGAGTGCAGCGCGTTAGCGGCATCAGCTCTCTTGAACAAGTAGCGTCACATCTTTTCGAGTGGCAACAGAGAGAGAGAGAGAGAGAGAGAGAGTGAGAAAGAGAAAGAGAGAGAGCGAGTGTGAACGCGAACTTGAACCTTAGGACTTTTGATTTCTCATTTGTTGACTGAAGACAAACGTTGTTAGCGTTAATTTGTTTTTATTTATTGATTTTACAATTTACAAGTGTTAGGCTAAGTTAAGAATGCAATTAGCGCAATGCACCACTCTATAGGAATATATTATATTTACTATTGCCTAATGTTTGCTAATGAACTATGGCTTTCAGACAATACAAATAAATGTTGAAATCTGATTTGCGAAAGCTCAGTCGAAAACTACAAATCCAAGCTTTCATTCGCTTTACTTAATGGGCGCATTAACTGGCTGACCTTCTGCATTGCATGAACTCGACTGTGATTTCGATAATCGACTGGCGACTGGCGACTGTCGACTGTAGACTGCCGACTGTCGATTGCCAACGATTTCCGCATTGCTGACAGGTGAAACTTTTTTGTTGTGATCGACAAAAAGAAAAATGCAATGCAGGGCTGCGCAGGCGCAGGCGTTCGCGTTCGCGTTCGCGCTCGCAACCGTACTTGACAGTTGGACGTTGACTGGGGGAGAGGCAACCAATGATGCAACAAATATGAATTGACATAACTGAATGTGTGCCAAGCAATTGACAGCGGAGACCGCATTTGCATATTGTGGTTTTTTTCTGTAACTTAACTAAGGAAATTTACATTGGAATTCGCAAGGGTTTCTTTTTAACTGCGGGCACTGAATATATATATTTTTTCATTCGGGCCTGAACAGTAATTAACAGTTATTAATGCACCTCGACCTCCCCCTCTTAAAAGGGCAGGCCGCACACGTACGTGCTAGCGTGCTCTCACTCTCATTCTCGCACACAAACAGACACACTCACACAACCTTATAAACGCACACGATACACGGAAAGAGCGAATTACGCGCCCCATACACGTGCACTCTCTTCCTCTCTTACTTTGGCTGTTGCTTCCCTGTCTGTCACTCTTGCGGTGCGTTGCTGGGCGCGGCGGGAAACAGGAGACCGTTTTTTTTTTCTTTATTTTTTTCTTTTTTTTTAATTAAAACCACGCAGCAACTACTCTGATGACTAATTTTCACCACTGTACACATATTCTGTGAGTGCACAACAAGTTGCTAACAGAAAATCGATGCGAACTTACCGCCAATGATTTCAGGCCGGCGAACTCAGCGAACGTGCACCGTTGGAATTTTGCTTAAATTTTTAGAATTTCAAACACACACAAACACACATTGACATTCACACACACACAATATCAAAGCGATCGTCGTGAGTTTAAATAATTTAGAACACTTTTCGCGTATATTTAACTTAAGTACGTTTATCTGGCTGCTGTGTGATACTATTATCTTTTAACTACTATTTAATACACGCGTACCCGCACAGGAATCGGAATTTAAACAAAAAATTATATCCGAATGGCAAACGTAGCAACAACGGCAACAACCATGCACAAGGAAGTCTAAAATCAAACTAAGCGCACAACAAAAACAATAAGCCCAAAAGAAAAATTACAAAACCCAAGAGAATACATGATGTCAAAAAATTGACAAGGTATCGCAAAAGTTATCTCCGTATGGTTCAGAATTACCTCTTAGCTTTTTATTCAACAATTATTATATTTAAGGAAATTACGCCCAAAAGCATAAAATATGTGGTAATTAAATAAACTTTAGTTTTTTGCTATATTTAAAACAGCGCGTCACATTGCACACGTCTAGCAATGACGTCACAATTTTCTGCTTATTTGCTCTAAGAGAGCGCTAAATGCTGGAGTGCCGCACATTTTTTATCTTGCTGACTAATTCGATAAAGAGCGACGCCGCCACAAAATTGAGCGCCAGCTGTTTGCAATGATGTGGCAACTCCATTACCAATTAAAGTGACCAGACTTCGCGTATGGATAAATCTACTGATATGCATGGTGCAAAAATACCAAAACTGACAGACTGATCACAAACGTAATGTAACGGTTTTTTGAATTATTAAAGGAGTCAACTTCAGCTATTTAATGATATATCTGTATATAGACAAACCAGCTGTTGCCTTAGCAACGGCACTAGTGTAAAAAAAATAAACAAATACTACTTCGTTATGCACAAGTACATATAATTAAATATGCTTAGTCAGTTACTTGAGGTCTCAATAGTGTTTACTTATGCTTGCTCAATCATGGTGACACGTGTGAGTAGATCTATTGAAGTGCTACCTGTTCAGGTAGCCAGCTTAATTAACGATAGCTATTTACTAAAAAAAATAAACAACCTCAAATGGGAAAAACTATACATTTTTCTGTAAATCTCGATTTTATTTATAAAATAAAAAACACATTTCTGTTGATCAAAAAAAAATCCAACGAAATAAACACGTGTAAAAAAATTTTTTTTTTGTTTTCCCGAATAATAAAAATATGTATATATATAAAAGAAATATATATAAATATGTGTATTAGCTAGATCAATCAGCTAATTATATTTTGGAAAATTCTATATGTATTTATATTTATTTATGTATATATATATACATATAAAACATAATTGCTTGATCTGTACGTGCACTTGCCACAAATTGGATTTTTATGATAAAAGGTTTTTTGTTTTTCTATCTTTTTCTTTAATTATGTTGCTGTTGTTGTTGCTGTTGCTTTTCAATATAATGTTCGTTGTGGATTTGGCTTAGAATTACGCTTGGACTCCCTATGCTTATGTTTAATTTAATGTTACGGTAATTTTATTTGTTACATTTAATTAATTTATGCTTTGTTTCTTGGTTGCTTGGCTGGCTGGCTGGCTCGGCTGGCTCGGCTCGGCTCGGCTCGGCTCGGCTTTCACTTGTTGCCCGCATTGATGAGGAGACGTTGTCGCGCCGTCGACGTCGAGTTCGAGTTGAGAGCCGGATTGCACATCTCTGTGGTGAACTTGGAGAAGGTGTTCTGGAAGCGATTCACAGTGCCGCCATTCGCATGGCCATTGCCGTTGCCATTGCCATCCTTAAGCTGCTTCATATCGCCATTTGCATGGCCATTGGCTTTCACAGCCGATTTGTCCTGCAGGCGAAACGATTGATTAGCCAAACATATACTGATTATATATCGTCTAGATGTACATACCTTGCCATCGCGTCGCACATAGGCTCGCTTGTAGAAGTTGGAGAAGAGGAAGTAGAACATCACGGCGTGTGCGCCAATGAAGTAGGCAAAGCCGATTGGATAGTTGCAGTCGTTCTTGAAGAACAGCTGGAACGAGTGAACCATCACGAGCACAAACTGAATCATTTGCAACACAGTCAAGTATTTCTTCCACCAGAGATAGCGCTGCACCCTGGGACCCATGGCAGCCAGCATATAGTAGGCATACATGAAGATATGCACGAATGTGTTCAGGAAGCCAAAGAATGTCGAGTGGCCGCCGGGCGTGAACTTGACGCCCCACCAAACGGAAACGGGCATGATGCCATGATGGATGACATGCAGCGTGGACACCTGATCGTATCTCTTGCGCATCACAAAGAAGAATGTGTCAAAGAACTCGGTGAACTTGGAGAAGTAGTACCACCAGCAACCCGCTGCAGTCTGCAAGCAAAATACAGGGTATTTTATTATTATCATATGCTAAACTTATGTATATATATATATATCTCTTAGATTTTAATATGCTAATTTTTATTGGCTTTCTATATGATCAATTTTGGCACATTCTTTTAAGGCCAGCTTACACGTGAGTCTTCAATCTAAGCAAGGCGAGCGGTCCATGTTGGCTCACTGACTGCCTGACCGCCTGCCTGCCGGCCGGCATCGGCCATAGACATTTGTCATCGATTGATTAGCATAAGAACCAGTCGCCGTTATGGCTCTTTCTTGATGCCAAAAGCAACTGGTCGCCTTAATACATATAAATCTGGCATACTGAACAAACATCAGCTAAATCATAAATTCTAGCTAACACATAGAGACATAGACATACATTTACCACATATATAAAGCTATGTTTGTGTGTATATAGCTGACTATATACTTAATACTCACACGTAACGCACGCGGTGAATAGGAATAGTCAACGGGTTCGCATCTCAAGTTATAGCCATTCAGCCAGCCACCTATGCAAGACTATAAATTCAAGGTTTATTGGTTTATTTGGGAATTTTGGCAGAGCTTCCAGCAATCTTTACCTCGTAGAACAGCCACGCGCTGAATATAACCTGTGCTGCATTGTAGACAATCAGAATTTTGCGCAGCTCGAACGGTTTTCTGTTTTCCATCAGCTTGGGTCCCAGCACCTGAAGGGAATGAAGAGAGAAAAATGTATAAGTATTTTTAAGTTATTATTGATGATGATTTAAATATATATATATTAAAATAAAAAAAAAATATTTATATATATAAATATATATATATAAATATATAAAATAAATTATATATATATATATATATATATATATAAAATAATTTTTGTAAAAACATTTCATTGGATTTAAAGCTAATATTGAACTAAAAACATTTTAATTGTTTATTGGATTCTAAAAAAATGAAGTCTAAAACTTTACATTTAAAAAATATTTGAGTATAAGGAAAGTATATAGCTTTATTAACTGAACTGTGCATATAACTAATTTCCAACAATTTTCCACACTTCGCAGTGAAATTCACTTGCATCAAGGCAGTAAGCTTTCTTTCTTTCTCAAGTAAAGCCGCAGTCAAAAATAATAAATAAAAATATTATATTATTATTAGGAAAGTATTCATACTGAAAGTCAATACACTGACATTGGATCCAGAGCACTTTTGCCACTCAGCAGCGGACAGCTTCCAAGCGAGCTGCTCAAAGGCTTCGGCAGCGTCTACAGGCGTTGTTTACTTGTAATGATCGATAGGATTAGTTGCCAAACCAGAACTGTTAGGCAATTGACCTCATGACATTGATTCGCTCTTTTAAGGGCTCAAAAACTGTGTTGAGTGAGAGCACGAATGGTGTGTGTGAAGTATGAGCGACTTCATTTACTGCAGCCAAAACCTTTTCTTAGATTAGGACCCTCTTGAAAGATTTGCTCTGGGAACCAAGATTCGACTACTTTAACGATTTCATAGAGATGCCTTGAATTTCTTTCAAATTTCTTTACACCAATCGATGCAAGTTCATTTTTTGTGCAACTGCCAAATTATACGAGAAGAAATCTTCTTAACGTTCCATTGTTCAGGCATGCCACTACGCCCCAAGGATGATTATATAATTGCAAAGGCTCACTATATAAAAGGCAGTTCTCGTATATATACATTATTTATATATAAAACCATTTTAGAACTATAAATCGTATTGCTAGCAAAATAATTCAGTTTTAGTTGAGCGTAAATATCTATGATAATGTTTTTAATTTACTTATAATTGTTATTATTGTTATTATATAAATTTTTATTACTATGCATTAGTGTAGAACCGGCTCGGAGATCCGGCTAAGCTTATTCTGTGCTATTTGCCAACTTTATGATGCCACATATATACAGATACACATATTCAAGATGGTCGAAAAGCGCTTGACAGCCAACACAGATGTCACTCAGGGCTGCCTGAGCATGGCCAGCACTGGTTTTAATTGAGCATATAACACATAATACATAATCAAACAAAAGGTGTGCGATGCTGCAATTATCGAATCAATCGGAGGCTGTTGCTGCTGCGGCTTCGGCTGATGTTGATTTTGGGACAAGTTCGTTGCCTAAGTCTTTTGTTGTGTGCGCTATTCGAAAGCCATTTAAATGATTACATGCATATGTATAGAAAATGTAAAGCAATGCAAAGCTGAAACCTAAATAGAAATCGTTTTTCGAATTTAGGTTTTTCGAATTTTGTTTCTTTCTTTTCTTCTGCTTCTTCTTCTTCTGTTTTTGCATATGTAATTTTGGCCCACTTGGGTCAGGCATCGACATTTCGACATCGGCGTCGCTCGTTTAGCGCTGATTGCCTTTGATTTTGAATGGCTCGACTGGCCCTGAACTTATTTTATATGTTTCATTTTATCTCTTTACGTTTTTTTTTTTTTTTTTGCAATGAAAACTCGTTTCGCAAATGGCAGGATTCGATCGTAAAACGCATCCGTGTGCCAGCGCCAGATCATCAAAATGTGATTGGCAGTTGGAACCAACTCGAACAGTCCAACAGCCGGCTAGCAGTCTTAAGTGCTACATTCTAGAGCTGGGGTTTTTTCTGTGTTCGACCATAAGCAGGTGTAATTATAGATGACTCTCTGGTGCTGCTGCTGCTTCCACTTACCTTAACGAAATATGCGTATGCCAAGCTGATTGCTATCGTTGGAAATGGAGAGCTCATGAGCGGATAGTCTCGTGTGCGCGGATCTGATTTGTTGTCCATAAGATCCCGCCAGCCATCGTAAAACTGTGTGAGATACTCCTGCAATAAAAAGAACAACAAAAAAATTGAATATGATTAATCAAGATCTTAGGCAATGCGGGCATAACAGGCAGCTATAGGGTTCAAATGTCAAATCTATTGCAACATCAAGTTACGCGCTGGCAAATCAGTTAAAAATCAGCAAAATCCATCAAAACTTCACGTGGGTCGCAAGCCAAAGCTTTTGTGTTTGCCAGTCTGCTGCCGCTATCAATGTGATTACAATTAAAGTTAAAGCCGCTAATACGAGCTGTCTATCTAACCACCTACCCATTGATCTCCTCTGAATCATTTGTGCAACATATATGTATGTATGTGTGTGTGGCTGCTCGGAAAGAAAAAACGGCGCAGCAAACCGCATTCTCAGTGAGTTTCCGTATGTGGCCCCATGATTTTCTATAATATTCGTAAACCAATTTACGTTGTGGCGTTGAGTTGCCCAAAATCAAAGTCTTAAGAAAAACAAGTGCGAATGCGCTAGTAAGGAGTGCTCGACTAGAAAATACCCTTCTTCTATACACTATGTATTTGGGTTCTCTAGGCTATCGAGTTTTCAAGCCAAGCTTAAGTAACAAAGTCCAAAAATGTGCAAGTCATTGAGTTCAGTCTTACAGAAACAGTTAGATATTGTGTAACAGCTAGAAGAAGGCGTGGCCCAGCACTATATATATGTCTGAACTATACAAGGTGCTAAGTCCGTTCTCAGCTGAGTACACGTCTGGTTCTGCCTTGATCTGAACGGAGCCAGCTCTTCGTCTAAGGCCTGACTTTTCATTTGCAATGGCTATCAAAATATAAAACTGGTTGCAACAAATTATCATTGAAATGAAACAAACAGTCAAACGGATAAACAGGAACAGGAAAAGCAAATGAGCAAATTATTTAAAATAATTTAAGAATTTAAATGCAGTGTATGTATTAAACACGTTATGCTACTGCCGCACCATCATCAGTGGCCAAATAGCTGACGCCCTGAGAATTTCCATTTGTCAAGAGATGGCTACAAATTGCCAAGGCGTGCGCGAGTCTCTGTAGGACTTGTTTTTAATTTACTGCATTTAGTTATAGTCACAATCAGCTTCGTATCAATAATGGTCATTTGTCAGTAGCTGCTGCAATTACTTGCAGTGCTTCGCTTTGCTATCGAGTGCAATTACTAGCCAATTCACAGCTATGTGAACGTAAATCATACAGAAATCTGTTGTCAGCCAACGAACTACGTTCAATTCTGGAATTTTTTCTTCAGCTTAAATCAGCTGTAAAGCTGTATCTGTGTAATAATTAATTAACTCATTTTTATTTACAACATTTAATTTATTATAATTTAAAGCCTGTTTTAATTATGTCTGAAAACTTCTCGCACAAAATATGATTTGCATTGAAAATGTAATGACTTTTTTTTAAATCTTCAAAATGAATTGAATTTAGCTCTAACTGAAGTCAAACTAAGTCATTGAACGGATTATATTGGGCTTTAAGCTCTCAATTAACTTTTACTTTCAAATTCATATTCATGCCGGGGCTGAGGTGGTAGCTCAGTGTAGGGTCAGGTTAGTCAGGCAATAACGTATCGATTGCTAAGTGTTGAACTTATTAACGAAAACTATACTTAATATTGTCCCAAAGAAGTGTCGTAAAGAAGTATCAACTCACTTGGTCGGAGCGATCATATAATTATAATACTTCTCCTTTATAATTGGCTTTGTTTGTCTACAATTATAATTTCCTTAAGTTTTTAAAAAGTCTTTTTAAGCATTCGGCAGACATTAAAAAACAATGTTTATAAAAAATGGCAAATTGCATTAAATACTTTAACAGTTAAATATTAGCATCAACTTAAACAAACTACCCAAATATAATTATTAAAATTAATATCACTCTTGTTTGGTCATGCTACATAAAAGTGATTTATGACAGCTGAGCCACAATTTATTAAAAATTTTAATTAAATTATTTTCATACATTCAGTTAAACTTAAAATAAATCATAAATAAATGGCAAATTTTAAAAAATATTTCTGCATACGAATATAATCGTCACATATATAAGAAAGCAAATCTCTAACGTTTGAATTACCTATGAAATGGAAGTCTGTCTGATCCTAAATTTATTTATTTATTTAATATAAATTCATATAAAATTAAAATATTTTGGCTTTTAGTATTTGTTTAAATGTTGCAATTCTTTTTGTTGAACATTTCGTAATTGAACGAATTCAAGCGACTAAATTATCCTGCACTTTGTCAGCGTCTCAGTTAATTGCAATAGCTTAGCCTTTTGGCCAGGTTAGCTAATGAGCAACTGTTGGCACCTGTCGCCATCTGCATGTCATGCAAAGGCATATGCAGGCAGGCAGGCAGGCAACTAGTCGTTCAGTCAGTCAGTCTGTCTGAGAATAAGATAAACAACAATGGCTTTGTTGTCGCCTTGTCGACGGCGACACACACGCGAACAGCATCAGGGGGCAAGTCATGGAGTTTGGTTACTTCATTAATGGCACAGTGCCGGCCATTAGGCATGGGACTAGCCTGGAGGCTGTGCGGGTGTGGTCACTGGCTGAGGAGGCTGAGCAGTAATTATTGGTTGGAGAACCGCATCGGGTTATTTGCTTGGCATTTTTCGTGATGCATTCGCTGCTGGACAACAGCAAAACTGCACTGCGGTAATTTTTATTGTTGACGTTCCTCTCCCTCGCTCTCTCCCTCTGTTCCTCTCCCTCTCCCTGTCTCTCTCTCGGTGTGTGTGTGGCAAGAGTTGTATTTAGCTGCTTTAACGACCGCCTGTGGTTCACTGTACTTGGGTTTTTTGTACGTGTAACAAGCGTGCATTTGCACAATCGACTTCTAGCTCACAATACGCATACGCACTGATGACTGGCAAGTTAGCTATTTCTATAGCCATCGGCGGCAGTCAAGCGTTAACCCATATCGAAGTGTCACCCTTGTGAGTCATGGGTCTCATGACCTATGATCCATAGCGTAACATAGGCATCCGCAGAGATTACATCTAATTACGTACGGAGATTTTCACTTTTGTTGCGTGTGTCTCTGGCGGCTTAATTGAATTTAACAAGCAAAAGAAAACCAAATTTAAATTTCATAAAAGTGCTTCCGGTGCTCAAGACAAGCCAACCCAACCCAACCCAAACAGCCGCCTTTCCATTTCAGACATTCTTTACATAATAATTGTGATTATTATTTTAAATATATGCACAATGATTGAGATATTTACAATATGCAGCTCTGACGTAGGTCAGTTACAGCTGTATTAATTTCACATATTTTATAGCGCATTGATTAAGGAAAATTACTGGAGGCGCGTCACTAAACCAGTTTTTATTTTTCACACTCTCAACACACTTCGACTTAAATAATAATATACATTTAACTGGTATCAAGGCTTAGTCAACGCTAGACATTCGATGCAATTACGATTTAATTGTTTGTCCGTTCGTTCCTCTTCTTCTTCACTTTGTTGTATTTAACTAGTCGATCAAACTATTTGTCACTTGCACCAGTCTGATTTAGTCTCTAGATTAGTTCCGTGTAGTATCATTGGCCAGGCTTAGGCCTCAAGGCATTTCACTAACTAATTTGGCTTTAATTTCTTAACACGGATATCACTCGCCTGCTCTAGTGAATTAATTAGCTGTGAATTAAATGTAAACAACTAAATGCCAAGTTGGGCTAAGATATCTTAAGGTTTTGAGGAAATTAATTAGTGAACTTTGGTTGCAGTTGTAGTGAAACAATCAAAGCCTAATGAGAACGTATACGAAATACTAAGACTTTAGTATTTGAGCTACGTTTTTATTTACTGAATACGGAATAATTTCAAATTCCAATCGTAAATGGTTATGATCTGTTTGTGGGAAAAAATTTATTTATTTATTAAATATTTTATTTCTCTAACTCCTCAAACTGTGGCTTTGAAATCAATCAATAAGAAACCAATGAATTTTTGAATTATCGAATAAAATATAATTGTAAGACGGATATACAGACAGACAGACAGGCTGTCTGGATAGATAAACAGACTGACAGACAGATAGACAGACAGACTGCCAGTAGATAGATAAACAAACAGATTGACAGACAGATAGATAAACAGACAGAGAGACAAACAGATATATACACAGACAGATAGACCAGCAGACGAAAGCATATGGCTGCATCAATTCACCTTATGGTCCTGAAGACGCAGCTGTCTAGATTGATTCGTCTCGTTCTTCTGATGTGACTTATACATACATACACTTCTTCTATCTCTAACATGCATTTGCATTTAGAATATATAAAAGCTTCTCTTAACGCTCTAACACATGTTTCTATAATAATTAAACTAATCATTTTTGTCTTTAAAATTTCTTTAAAGATCGCTTAAAAGTTGGCTTGAAACTAGTTGAAACGCACATCAATTAAATCCAAAAAATAGTATTATATTTAAATTTATTTTTCTTTTAAGTTTTCTCAGGCACATCGATCATTAAAAATTGACTAACTTAAGTTAAAAAAAAAAAATTAAAAATGAAATAAAATTTGGACAGCAGTTCCACAACTTTGTTGCATAGTGTAACCAATCAATTCACAATGCAATCTGCTGTTTATCATGAATTTAAGCGCAGCTTAGGCGATTTGTCAAAACATTTGAGTGAACCCGATGCGATTTCATCAGCTAAGCGCGCAAAACAAAAGACTTAAGACACGAACTTGCCAATTGCTATTGTTCATTGAACGTTGCCCTGTTGGCAGGCATTTGACAGGTGTGTGTAGGTGTGTGGGTGCTGCGTGTATCTTAATCCAAACAAAAAAACCCGCAAGTCATATGCTGACATCTGTTGCTGCTGCTGCTGCTGCTGTTGTTGTTGTTGTTGTTGTTGGTTTGCATTTCACCAATAAACATCCGCATTAATTGATCGCACATGTTCGCACTCGTCGGCGCAGAGTGTGCGCTGATCTTGCGGCATTTTTTGCCGAGCAACTATAATGAGGCACCTTTGG